TTAATATGTTCTTGTATATCAATGCAAGAATATTGGTGTGACATAGACATCTTAGCTTGAAGCCGTACTCAATGCTATGTGAAGTACGTGTAGTGCCAAGTGTCAAATGAACCAATGGACATCACAGCCTTCGAAAAACAGAAATTCATATTGTGTATCCCATAACCAGAGAAATAAGCTGGAAAAAATTGTGGTCTCAAAAACTTAATATGCGATTGTCAACTTTCGATCCCAGCACAATCATGATATCTCCTCCTAAAATGTTTCGATCTTTGTGACTATTTTTCTTTCTGTGGAATCATCAGGTTTATAAGGAAAAGCAAATTAAGAATCGGTACTCATTCCACGTGTCCATCAGTTACATGTAAGCGACTTCGAGGATCCCATGATTTGAACAGTTCCGGTCCCAGTCGAGAGCTGTTAACACGTTAGTGTTGAGTGTCCGACCTGACCACAGCGACCTCCGGCGAAACGGCTGAACCACATTGTCTGTTAATCATGTGCTTGTTACTCTATGGGAGTTGTTTCAGTATGAGTGTTTTGTAGTTATTGCTTCATGTTAGTCTTCAATACTACTGAAACTGTTTAGCGTTTTAGACAATTCAACATTCCACAAATGACAGCAAGGACCTTCTCACCAAACTACATCACAGTATGGCTCCCATTATATTGACTGAATTGTATTGCAAACATAAACATGTTCAAGCTTAAGGGCAATTTATCACTTTTACTATACATGTATTATAACCTGTTCAAGTTATGCAAAAATGTTTAATACGCACAATTATTTATAAATTTTCATGCATGTCAAACCTGAATCTCATGACAAACAAGAATGAAATTCATTGCAACAAGCCTGTTATGTTGAACATGAAATAATGGGTAACTCGTCAGATTTTTTTTTTTTACATATATATAAACAAAAAAATCCATTGATATCTACCTTCCCATGTACAGCTATAATTGATTGTTCAAAACATGATCTAAGATGGCGTCACTGTTGGTGCGTGGCATGAAATATATATATTCCCGAATAAATGTTTAGCAATAACATCTCAATATTATTTTGAATAAACAACGACGAAGTCGAGTTATTATCTTTCTGTAATACTCTGATGCCCTCATCTAATTTAGTTGCAAGACGTAGCTGTTATTGCAATAGAATACGTTACCACATGCAAAACATCTTTTGAAAATGTATAATCATTGTGTGTACCAACTATTCTTTTCATACTAAATGGAAAGTGAGTTATATGTCGAATTGTATATCGGGTGATGGTCTTTTGTCTCAAATAAAACACAGGCAATATCACTGTATACTTAAAGGTCACTGTTTGTTAGAAGATTACAAAAACTAGACATACACTTCCATTCACCTACAAACACAACTTTCCGCTGTACGAACGACACATACTAAATATATCCCCCCCCCCCCCATCCAGCATACAATCACACGATGGAATTCTGTCATGCTAGCAGTAGTACAATACACAACACTTGAGTACTTTAAGGCAGATATTCCCTACGCAGCCGTTAAAGTCCCCAAAACCCGTACGATAGCCACATATCTGTTATTATCTTTATAATCACCTGCACTGACACAAAATTTAAAAAAAACTCTCCCTATACATAATTTCTTGCACTTTTCTGCACTTACCCTATAAAGCCAGTCAGTGTAATCACTTTTACTGATGGAACTGATTAATTTTGAAGAAGAGCAATCCATGAGGTGCAAACTAAGAATTGTAAACTGAATAATTCTGTTGTTTTCGATCGCACATGGGATGGTTGCAACGTTTCTAAAGCTGCTTGAAGCGTTTCCTATTCAATAATTATGTATTTTTTAGAGCTGTGCTTTAAATAGGTTTATGAGTGGGCTGATGTGTACATATTTACTACAATGAATTGTTAGCTGAATATCCTGTAAATTAAAATTGCATATCGGCTACATAGAGTAATCACGTATCCCTACGTTTTCAGTTTGTGTAACCTTTTTATTATCTTTTGTTTTTCGTGTTCTATGGATCTGTTTGTTATCTAGTGTGACTATGCTGTGTGTTGGTATTCAATATATTTCAATAACCAAATATCCCTTAAACTCGGGTTTGAATTATATTTGTGTGGTGATTGCTCATTTTCTGAAGTTATCCTTCAATTGTGTAATTTTTGAAAATGGTTGTTAAATGCCCATAAGATGTGGATACAAAAATGACGACATAAAATACGTGTATGTTCGATACAATATAAAAAAGGAAACTACAGAGAAACCAAACACATTCTTCTTACATTATGAACGATTTCATGAAATGATTGCCGAGTGTTCTTCAATAATGAGTTTGAATTGTATATAAGGGATGGTTGCAGGCGATCTCCTGACAATAAGAAACAGTTGAACATATGCTGCAAAAACTGTTTCATGAGTATGTATGCAAGATTGCCAAAATGTCCACCAACTGTGACCTAGAACTGCAAATGGACGGTGACGTTCCAAATTCTCATATGCTTCAATTTGAAAATGTTAAGTTGTAAAAGGCCAATTTCTCATAATCTTGGTGTCAAAACTGAATAAGGGCGATATGCAACATTACCATAAAATATACTATGAGTTTGAATTGTATCGGAAGAAAATGCCAATAAGCTTTGTCTTGAAACTGTAAATGAGCCGGATAAATTATTGCAAAGTTTTAATATCATGAGTTTTGTGATAAAATTGTGTACCAGATGAAGGGAGATTGTCCTCATCATTCGATTGAGAAATATGAGTAGACAGATATGTGCTTGCTAAAGGTACATACAACTATGCTTTTAGAATTGTATTTGGTCGTGTTGCCGAGTGTCCCCAAGCATTGGGTTAGATTGTGTATGGGCTGTGTTTTCCCAAGGTGAGATTCAGCATTGTTTATGGGATAATGGTCTAGAGGCCCGTATTAAGCCATGGAAATCTGAATGTACTTTCAATTACATCGCCACATCCATAACCTCCTATTCACTAATTAGAATTAACGTTAAAGGTACATGTGCGAATCGATACCGCAAGTCTTCGCAAGGAACATGAGTCACAAGTGAAAAAAAAGGGTTCTTTATCCGTTCTTCGTCTGTCATGTATTGTATGGACAAAGCCGGTGTCGTGACGTACTGAGTAGTGTGTCGGCACGTGCTGATTCATCCAGGTCCTGGTTATATTTATAAATAGTGTGTTATACACTACAATAGGATATGATCGATATGTTAAGATGTGTATTGCAATTGAGAATTGTTTTTCAGTGCGGTGATTTAATTCACAGAATAGTATGACTTATATATGAAATGTTTTGCATTCAGTTTTTCTTACGACCTGGTTGTTTTATGCGTGATATTTTAGAACCAAATACGTCAGTTTTGCAATGGTTTTATTTGGTATTTGTACTGTGGAAATGTGGGGGTGGGCGGATTGGAGAGGACCCCGGTCGATGGGTTTGGTTTGGTTTGTTCGTGTTTTACGTCCTTTTAACAGCTATGTTCATTTAAGGACGTGCTATGTTTTGGTGGTGGAGGAAAGTCGGAGTTCCCGGAGAAAAACCACCGACCTACGGCCAGTAGCTGGCGACTGCCTCACGTAGGCCTCGAACCCGCGACCCAGTGTAGAAGGCTAGTGGTAGTAGAATGTCAGACGCATTAACCACTTTGCCACCGTGGCCTCGTGGTCGGTGGGTAATAGAGTGGTTTACGGTCGCTGGTAATACAAATGGTGCAGAGAAGTGTTAGGTGGCAGCATCAGACTGCAGATCTGACAGGTCATACACTACCTCTTAATTATGCACTTAACTTAAACAGTTATTTATGCGTTATATACGTAAGGTAAAGAGTACCGTCAATTTAAAATATACATGTACTATATACTATTGGCAATATCATCAAATGTTGGTTAAGTCATTTCGGATCTACAGTTTCCATACAATCCACATTATGCAGTGTATTTTTACAGTATTATTACTGTTTGATAATTGATAATGTGGAAATAAAAAATAAAACAAGAAAAAACACGAAATAAGTGTCGAAATGATGACCTATTCACAAGCAACTCCATATTTTACCAAAGAAAATACACTATATCAAAATAAAGTAAAGGATGTTGATTATTTTTTCATATATATGTCTTGATGTAAATTTATATCGCTCATATGTTTTATGATCAATTCTTTGTCTTTGGTTGTCACTGTAAGAAAACTAAGAAGGAGTTGTGAAAGTCTTGAAAACTACAAAAGAATGAATTTCCCTATATTGGAATGGATTTTCTCTTCAAAGAACATCTGCTCGCTCCTAGTGACGTCATGAGCCTGAAATTAAATCCTCTCAAAGGTGTCTAGCTTAAGAAAAATATCCGTCAGAACCAAATCATAATAAAATTATGAAATAATATTGTGACTATAACTAGCACCGTTGTAAAACATAAATGTGCATATGGAGCAGTCAATGACGACCACATTGTTTTCATATCTTATCTTTCTACATAGTGTCCATATTTTGTTACGTGTGTCAACGTCGGAGAATCTCTCAATGATCATGAAGCTAAGATATTGTAAAATCTAGAGTCTCAAGTCTCGAGACCACCTGCGTTGGCATCTCGATTGTATCCAAGTGCTCCCGATGAGAACACAGTTTGATAATCTATAAGTATTTTCTATAAACTCTATGTCGAAAAAGAAAGAGTTAAAGCGTAACATTTTAAGTTATATCTGTGACATCTTTATCCTTTACCTTTAAATGCATTAGAGTAATATTGGATATTTTGCTCTCTATTTTCCCTAATTGAGAATATTTTTCTCATAAAACTCTACATGAGGTTATTGTTATTGTCAACAACAGACTTGATTGAACCATATATCCATATTTATATATACATAATGCCAATAATACAACTACCGGCAAAATGTGCCATGAAAGGTTTCAAAAAGTCACTTCATATTATTACCGATGTTAACTTTTGTAACTAATGCTTTTCTTGTATGTTTTTGTTTCAGGTATATATCTTACAGTGATCATGGCTATGAGTGGTCTTTCTGTTGTGTTTTCCGTGTTTGTTCTAAATATCCACCACAAGGGAGCCTTGTCCAGGGGACCGCCCAGGATTCTGAAAGGAGTAGTCCTCATTTTAGCCAAGGTTCTGTGTTTGAAGGTTAAGTTCAACGAGGACAGTTCGTACACACCTCACACGGGAAGTTACTCGTCGAATTCCGCCTATGCGGCCTTCAAGGCGAGAGACAACGAGTCACTTATACTGAACAGTAAGCACGAGAAGATCCACGGGGACCTTGGTGACGTCAGTGATGATACGCTCAATGACGTCATGAATCAAAATATTAACATGTCGTCACCAACGTCAACTAGAACTAGTTTTGATCGAGAAGTTGTAACCTATTTTAAACACGTAATGTCAGCTTACGAACAGACGGTAACAGAACGTCGAACGATACACGACTGGCAGGAGGTTGCCAGGGTGATGGATAAGTTTTTCTTTTGGCTGTTTCTTAGCATCACGTTCATTTCATCCTTTATCATCCTGGTCATCAGCCCTATGACAAAAAAGATAACTTTAGATAAGAGTTAAGGCTAAGTTAAGTATGGATGTGTTTGTTTGTATGAAGAAGCCAGGATGTACATTATTGTTTGTTTTCGGATATTGATATTTCAATTGATCGGCTTGTCATTTCTTTTTTCAGTCACATCAAACTCCGCCCAATGAATGTGCTATCATAATCACTTTACTAAACTTGCCTAGTAAGCAGTTTGTGGTAAATTATAGTTATTTTGTTTATTTGTAGTATATCATATTATATATCTAATGTCCGGCACATTCATTGCATTGTAATTTGGTCGGATCAAACCGGAAACAATCAAATTGCAACTCAAGTTAAATATAGACGTAGTCAAAACGTTTTCATGACTTCAGTTACCACAATACGACGATTCGTTTTATACCATAGAATAGTAAAAACGTTTTGATGACTTCAATACTTACAGACACATGAATGACAAGCTAATTGTTTTAGTGCATGTACTAATATTTGTCAACATCATTATTTTTCATATTTACTTCGGATTCGCAAATACGAACTTATTTAACTGCATTTGAAAAAACATTTGCGATCAATTAAAATTTTTGATTCAATATATCTCCGGAAAGGGATTTAAAGTATTAAACACCATCTTCAGAAATAAGCATACACATTATATTACGACAAATAAAACATCGTGAATAATTATAATAATAACAACACCTTGGTATCTAGATATCTTAGAATAAATCACAGATTGCAGCGGGTTTGCTAATGATTAGTCCTAAATAGTTCACATTGAAAATGAAACAATTAAAATATGATTGATGTTTTTTTCTCTCTCATTTTATCAACTGATTGTGATTACATCATTTTAAATATGTTGTATACATTTTTTAATAGTATAGTCACTGTATATTTCCGTTCGGAAGACAATTCATGATATTTTATAACATACGATTTTCATATTTTATGTGAGAGTTTTGTTATGACGTAAATAATTGAAAATAATACATATACAATGTAGATACCTAATCATGATGCATATACAACATCTTTCTGTCATAACTGCTCTAGGCTTCATCACCCCGCAGTTCATGGTTTATTACTTTCGGTAATGAAAGAGTGTGAAATAGGATCACGAGACATGACGTCACAGCTTCTGGATGTGTTTGTGTAATGTGTTATGGGGGAAACAGAATACCAAACGAGTGATAGAACTTAACAGTTTATATCCATTCTGGTGAGTTATTTTCGAAGTTTTATCAACTCACTAAAGCTCGTTTGCTTTACACACTGGAATGGATATAAATCATTCCGAGACATCACTCATTTGATATCCTCCTTATATTATAAAATGACTTAAGGACACAAACCCCTCATACATGTACATCCGTAAAAAATGAGACTTTTTTGTTCTATAAAAACATGAATTTAGATATAAAATAGGATTTTTTATAACGTAAAATCCCTTCGAATGCAGTTAATGATAACAAAAAAGTACGCCATTGTATGACAAAATGAAATGGGTAAAACATGTTAGGAAGATGAATATGTTATAGACTGTATAATATCTGTTAAGATATATTTTGTTTTTTAAATTTTGTTCCAGTCAAATCAAATTTGAAAATAATGCGATGCTGAAATTCAGTGTTAAACATTTTGTAATACACCAGCAAAGACAACCGCACCTCATATTGTTCGATATGATGTAACCCAATGTATCACTGGAAGTATTCAGAGAAGTTAACGCTTTATTCGTCTCAATGAAATTCCATGTATAGGTTCGGATATTAGTTATTACACTCATGTTATACAATGCACAACTCGTGTAAAATGGAAGCGCATTTTAGATCTGTGTTTTCCAAAAGAGCAAAGGTTTAACAGATATTTTGAAAAAACATGGCTTTTCATATCATTCTTTAAATGTTTATTTCAACAAAATGATAAAAGCATGCCATTGGTCTATTCACTGTATAATACGGTAAGTATTTGATGGATTAAATAGTCCTACCTGTTCATGACTCATTAACTAATATTCATAGTAAAAATTACGAACGTGGTGCAGGCCTGGATAATAAAAAACAGGATTCATTTTGTTACATATATTGTCAGGTATACAGCCAATGCCGTATCCTGGATTGTTTTTATTTATAATATATGATACACCAAATGTGCTCAGATTTTTTATCCATGTATAGTAAAACTGTATCCAATTTAGATTTGAATGTTTTTATTGTTAATAGAGTAATGAAACAGATAATACAAAAGTGAGAATACAAAACGTGTTAACAAAAACAGGTTATGCCTACATCAGTCTTCTCCAATGCTGACAAAGGACTAATTAACACCGGAACTATATATAAATAAAAGGGGAAAAACACAGGTGTTCAGGAAGGAAAAGCAAACATCTGGATTATACGAATAACATGACAGGTATCATAACATCTCAGTAAGAACGTAATGAAAGCATACTTACATCATTAACCGATTGATCTCGAAAGCTTGATAATACGGTTCTTCTCTTACGCTTACTGTGGATTACATACGTTTCGATTGGCACCTATTTTCATTTGGCGTGATGTTATCCATTACAGTTAAACACGATGAGATGTTTGTTCGCGAAAATGAACGTGTTGCGAGGTATAAGTAATCTACAGTAATTGATAACAAATACGTATAAGACATGTTTTGGAAGTCCCGATGATGAACGTAGTTTGATAAATTCTATAACTGTATTGATGTTCCCTTTGTTTTGTATAAAGCGTTCACCCTCAACTGATGTTGACAATATGGATGTTATATCAATAACCAGTCAACATCGGAACAGATGAAACAAACGAACGAGACATGTTTATGCTTGACATGAATAAAAAATACACATACACATGTCTTTACGAGTCTTATTTCAAAGGTAATCTGTATACAAAATACCATACCTGATATAAATATGTGTATGGGGTCGTGTCTTTTGTTGATGACTTGTAATTATTTCTTACATTTTAATTTCTAAATACATTGTTAACTGAAAGGAACACATGCGTAACACGTTTCAATAAAGCGACAAGACAATTGTGCTTCATTTTATTGATGAGTTTGTTTTAAGTGGGAACAATCCTGTTAATCGTCCAATAGATACCAAGCTGTCATCTTACGTAGATGCATGATGTGGAAATAAAAATAAAATAAAAACATTTTTGTCTAATACAGACTGGCGTTTTTGTTGTCTTCATGATGTTAAAGAAAATGTCGATGTGGTTGTCCATCTCAATTTGTAACTTCCTACAGCTGTTTCTAGAAGTATTGACTCCTTCCCGCGTCAAGCATTCAATAGTAGTTACTGGTGTGTGCCGACTGACATAAATCGTGTCTCGATAATCCAATCGCTCAAGATAAGCCAGCTTGTACATATATAAATAAGGTGCATATTGGAAAAAAGAACAGATACATACCACAACAAACCAATGGTTTTATCATTGTATTATACAAGAAAAAGGAGAATACTGATGCGGTTACAAAGCCCGTTATTTGAACTTGAAAAATCGTTGACACTTCGGCAAAATGTCGACAAAGGAATTTATTAACACCGGAACTATGAATAAATACAAGTGATAAAACCAGGTGTTCAGGAAGGGTAAGCGTTATCTGCTTTATGTTCATTGTGTATGTCCCCTGCCATGTTAAGCTAAGTCGTTAATGCTATGTTATCAAAGAGGACCAGGATATTGGCAACGAAACAATAAAGAGCATTTATAAGCATGATTGAAAACCTACGATATTCATATCGCACAAGAAAAATGAATAGCTCCCATTATGTTCAAATGTTAATTATCTGTAACTTAAGACATCTTGAGACATGTTTAATACGGTTTTTGTATATAGTGTATAGCGCCGCAGCTATATATGTGATAAAGGAAAAGTAAAAGCAGACAAAATCATTAAATACACTCACAATGGATGACCGTCATGCACGCCACCATGCAGTAACAATGACACGTAATTAATGTCGTGGTCGAAACCTTTACCATTTCGAAACACCATCATTTCAGCATTTTTACGAGTGAAATTCTTCACACGTCGTTTCTGATGTTTTGTGTCTACATTAAGTTCCGATTTGTCCTTTTGTGTTGGCGTTCTGTTTTTATGTTTTCAATATTTGATGGCTCTTTAAAACGGAATCAAGTAATATCACAGGAAGATTAAGGAGGCGCAGACCGACGGTCTTAGTACTAATTGATTACACCGTACTGATTAAAAAAACCACAAGAGAATACCGAAGCGTCAACAAAATCACAATTCGAACTCAAGTTGATCAAACTAAGGCAAAATATGAACAAAAGAAAGATGTAAATGTAGACACTTGAAAATTAGCAAGGAAAATAAGACCATGTGCTCCGAAACTCCGGAAGGGAGAGTGTTTTCTTCTTCATCAATGACATCTGCTATTTAAGTCGAAGTCGAAGACTAGACATGTCACGTTATCGCTTCGAGAACTCGGGAAGTGACAACAAAACCACCGGCCACTTCCATGAACATTATCAAAACATTAACCATCATATCACACAGAGTAAAAGCATATTTACCAGCGAGATCCTGATGGCAACCACAAAACGTGTCCATATTCTTTATCAACATGCATCTTTAGAAACCCTGCGTTGTACGTTTGTCTGTCAGCAGTCGATATCTGTCACGAAAATCATGATGTTCGGAACAAGCTTTTGAGTACCGATTCAACTGCGACACCGGCAGACATTTTTTCATTCATTCAGTATGATAGATTAACGAATATTGCCAAGCTTTGTGATTGGTAAGCTAAAATCTAAAAATAAAGTTCAAATATTGGAAAAAAAGATAACTAATAGTTTATGAAATTTAGTTAAAATATAAAAAAATCTTACCAAGTGTTGCAAAATATATTGACATTTAAGAATTAGAGATTAACATCCATAATTTTGAAAAGGCTTAATCAATATACCCCGACAATGCACTTACTGAAACATCCGCTTGAGTAAATTATATACAGTGTATATATTAATCAATTTTACTCGATGACATGACAAACTCCCAGTCCAGACAATGGGTATCTGTATTGCTATCACATTTTGACCTGCACCGTTCGTAAGGCTAATCCTATCGCCAATCGGATCTTGTTTTGTTGTGCGATTCCTTTGGTCCAGTTACATTGTACATCGTCGGAAGCTCGATTTGCCAAATGATTGATGCCACTGTATCTCACAATCTGAATCTATCATTGGTTCTCATTCTATAACATAGACAACCTGTCAATGATCGAGACAGCATCGTGTTGGAAGGTGAAGTGTCAGTTCAGGAGGCAGTAAAATATATCGGACTTGGAGTTGTCACGTTATAGGACAGCCTGGCATATTGGTATTGTATGCAAGATATGTATATGACACACATCAACATGTCTAACCATTGAAAAGCAAACGTTCCGATGTAAGGTACGTACATGT